TAAAATCCAGTAAAATCCAAAAACATTACAATCAACAATAACAATAAAGTGCTTCTTAAGTTGTTAAAAAATGATGGCATCCTTGTCCGAGAATTAGTCCGAGCCCATCCGCTGTATTCATTGCAGCATTCTAGTAGCACTACGCTCAAGGACACTCCCAACTTCGGTGTTCTTACCACCGTTGATGGTAATGGTGGCAGCGGCAGCGGCGGCCCCTACGTGAAAGCCTGGCGGAAGAGCTCCGTCTTGCAGGCCCTGCGGAACTGCACCAGGTCCCGCAGGGCCCTGATCTCCTCCGGGAGCTCATTCCACCAGGCAGGGGCCGCCACTGAGAAGGATCTAGTCCTTGTTGCAGCGTATTTTACGTCTCGGGGGCCCGGAACCACTAACTGGTTCTGGGTCCCCGACCGAAGTGCCCTTGGGGGTATATATGGGGAAAGGCGGTCCCTCAGGTAGGTCGGACCCAGGCCATATAGGGCTTTAAAGGTAAGCACCAGCACTTTGAAGCGGACTCGGTACGCTATAGGCAGCCAGTGCAGCGCCTTCAACCCAGGCTTGATGTGCTCCCACCTGGGGAGGTCCATCAGCAGCCTAGCTGCTGCATTCTGCACTAGCTGCAGCTTCCGGGTCAGCGACAAAGGCAGCCCCATGTAGAGAGCGTTACAGTGATCAAAAAAAGCCCTGAGCACAACTAATATGTACTTGTTGCTCTTTTCTTGTAGGTGGGCTTTTGACTCCTCCCCTACAAGCTGCTCCTCTGGGTTGGGGACTTTCTACCAAATGTCATACATTGTTGCTGGACTAATAACTTTTTTGACCAGCTGGTAGTCCCCTGTATACCTGAAGATTTGCCTTTAAACAAATTTCAGAATGTATCCTCCTTCCCCATCACTTTAGACTTTGTGGGACTGGCCTACATCCTAAATGAGAGGCATTAGCAGATCTCCAGGCTCCTCACAACGGATGGTGGAAGTGGCTGTTCAGCAGCTTTCTCCTTCCCCACAGGTTCCCCATTACAGGAAAAAATGAGGCAGGCATGAGAATTACACCCTAGTTTGCAAAGCTGTTAATGATAGACATTCTGGAGATAATTAATTCATAGGGTTGCCATAATTTGGAAACAATGTGATGACATATAACATACAGTGTCAAGGCAAAGGGTGGGAAAGTCACTTTCACCTCAAAAGAGCCCCATTCACCAAGACACTAAAAGTGCCAGCTTATTGTCATTAACGTGTGAGTTGCCTCTCTCACTGACCCTCACACAGGTGTCACACGCAAGGGAACATGTGAACACCCACCAGATGTCTGACACTGAAGAATGATTTCAGAGGTGAAACCCAAGATATCACCAGGGCAGGCTGTGACACTGTAAATGGCGCTGAACACGCCCTGAAACAGAGATACCCATTTTGTTCCACATTCTCTGATATGAACCAGGCCACTGCTGTCCCTTGCAGTGCCTTCCAGCAGAGTAGTCTCACCAAAACCAATGGGGCTCCTTGAGGAGCAAGTGAATCTGAGACTGAAGGAAAAAATGTGAGAGAAATGTATGACTTCATGCCAAAAATACCTCAGGAAGAACCAGTGCCTATTTTGGGGAGAGAAGAGAGACAGCACCAGGCAGTGCTATTACTGTGTGCAGGGTAGCAGTTATGAATGTGCAATCTTTGTGCGTTTGTGTGTGTGTATTTTTAAGAATAGCCTATGGGTTCAGACCTCAAAAACTGCTTTAATCCCAATTTTGTCTCCATGAGATGAAGGGATGAGCTAGCAAGTTATACTGTAGTGGCACCCCTCATAACCGGGATAAATATAATTAAGCAGCACGATACTGTGCAGAATCATTCTGGTCTAAACCTCTTGATTTCAACTGGTTTTCAATTTAAATTTATTTGGGAAATCGTGAATTGACACGGAAGTGACTCTGAATAGGACTGTCCGGTAAATTGCTGTATCTCATCCAGACACATTGCTGTTCCTCTCGAGGTTTAAATACATTCTCTTCTCTCCATCCCGTTATTGGAGCTCAAATCTCAGATTTGGTTCCCCCGCCCCCGTCCTTCCCCATTGCCCCAAGCCATTTTTCTATGTAGGTTGCAATCCTATGCACACTTTCTTGGCAGTAAACCCCACTGAGGTTATAGAGATTTACTTCTGAGTGAACATGATTAGGATAATATTGCGGAGGGGATACACATCCATTCCTAATCCCCAATCCCAGTTTTACAGCGCGGAATCTGAGCCCGACTCCCCTCCCCCACCCTTCCCCCACCCTTCAGCAGACAACCGCCCAGTGCAGCGCATGCGCCAAAGTACATACCTTTCTCGGTTCCCGCCTCTCACCGAGACACCATCCTCACCGAAAGGCGCGGGACGCTGAAGCACCGCCCATGGCTCTAAATCCGAGTGCAGATTGGCTGACGGGACGCTTCACTCTGCCTACCTTTCGAGCCATGATTGGCGAAAGGTCGCGTGAGGGAAGGTCGAAGAGGGTAGG